TCTCTCGTCCTCGCCGTCTTTGCAGTCCCAGACGCCGTCGCAGATTTGCCAGCTGTAGGGGGGAGAGGGGGAGGGGGTGAGAGGGGGGGAGGGAGAGAGTGAGAGGGGGGGAGAGAGAGAGAGTGAGAGAGGGGGGAGAGAGAGAGAGTGAGAGAGGGGGGAGGGAGAGAGTGAGAGAGGGGGGAGGGAGAGAGTGAGAGGGGGGAGGGAGAGAGTGAGAGGGGGGAGGGAGAGAGTGAGGGGGGAGGGAGAGAGTGAGAGGGGGAAAGGGAGAGAGTGCGAGGGGGGAGGGAGAGAGTGAGGGGGGAGGGAGAGAGTGAGAGGGGGAAGGGAGAGAGTGAGAGAGGGGGGAGGGAGAGAGTGAGAGAGGGGGGAGGGAGAGAGTGAGAGGGGGAGGGAGAGAGTGAGAGGGGGGAGGGAGAGAGTGAGAGGCGGGAGGGAGAGAGTGAGAGGCGGGAGGGAGAGAGTGAGAGGGGGGGGGAGGGAGAGAGTGAGAGGGGGGAGGGAGAGAGTGAGAGGGTGGGAGGGAGAGAGTGAGAGGGGGGAGGAAGAAAGTGAGAGAGGGGGGGAGAGAGAGAGAGTGGGAGAGAGTGAGAGGGGGGGGAGGGAGAGAGTGAGAGGGGGGAGGGAGAGAGAGTGAGAGGGGGGGAGGGAGAGAGTGAGAGGGGGGAGGAAGAAAGTGAGAGAGGGGGGGAGAGAGAGAGTGAGAGGGGGGGAGGGATAGAGTGAGAGGGGGGGAGGGATAGAGTGAGAGGGGGGAGGGAGAGAGTGAGAGGGGGGAGGGAGAGAGTGAGAGGGGGGAGGGAGAGAGTGAGAGGGGGGAGGGAGAGAGAGTGAGAGGGGGAGGGAGAGAGTGAGAGGGGGGAGGGAGAGAGTGAGAGGGGGGAGGGAGAGAGTGAGAGGGGGAGGGAGAGAGTGAGAGGGGGGGGAGAGAGTGAGAGGGGGGGAGGGAGAGAGTGAGAGGGGGGGGGAGGGAGAGAGTGAGAGGGGGGGGAGGGAGAGAGTGAGAGGGGAGGGAGAGAGTGAGAGGGGGGAGGGAGAGAGTGAGAGGGGGGAGGGAGAGAGTGAGAGGGGGGAGGGAGAGAGTGAGAGGGGGGAGGAGAGAGTGAGAGGGGGGGAGGGAGAGAGTGAGAGGGGGGGAGAGAGAGAGAGTGAGAGGGGGGGAGGGAGAGAGTGAGAGGGGGGAGGGAGAGAGTGAGAGGGGGAGTGAGAGAGAGTGAGAGAGGGGGGAGGGAGAGAGTGAGAGGGGGGAGGGAGAGAGTGAGAGAGGGGGGAGGGTGAGAGTGAGAGGGGGGTAGGGAGAGAGTGAGAGGGGGGGAGGGAGAGAGTGAGAGGGGGGAGGGAGAGAGTGAGAGGGGGAGGGAGAGAGTGAGAGGGGGAGGGAGGGAGAGAGTGAGAGGGGTTAGATTGGGTGGAAGAGGTTGGTGTTGGGAAGGGAAGGGAGAGAGACAGAGAGAGAGAGAGAGAGAGAGAGAGAGAGAGAGAGAGAGAGAGAGAGAGAGAGAGAGAGAGAGAGAGAGAGAGAGAGAGAGACAGAGAGAGAGAGAGAGAGACAGAGAGAGAGAGAGAGAGACAGAGAGAGAGAGAGAGAGAGTGTGTCAGGCAGAGAGAAAGAGTTAGACACAGGCTCGAGGCAGCAATCAGAGTGTATATATATATATATATGTATATATATATATATGTATATATATATATATATGTATATATATATATATATGTATATATATATATATATATATATATATATGTATATATATATATATATATATATATATATATGTATATATATATATATATATATATGTATATATATATATATATATGTATATATATATATATATATATGTATATATATATATATGTATATATATATATATGTATATATATATATATGTATATATATATATATGTATATATATATATATGTATATATATATATATATATATATATATATATATATATATATATATATAATATATATATATATATATATATATATATATACATATATATATATATATATATATATATATATATATATATATATATATATATATATATATATATATATATATATACACACATATATAATGAAACCGATGCATAGGCCTAAATGGAGCAGGACTTTTCCCCTTGATGGAGCCTGAACTAAATATCAAAATTGGAATTTTCAATCTCACGCAAATGGACCTTCCAATTTCGTTTTTTCTCTCTCTCATTTAATGTGCATCAAAGTTTCTCAAGAAAACTATTTAGGAAAACCATATGAGGTATATTGGGCTATGGCGAGAGACCTGAAACTCTTTTTATGTATATTTAGCACACAAACGCATACATAAATACCTCCCCCCCCCCACACACACACACATATATATACATATATATGCATGTTTATCAATCTCTTTCTATTGACCTATCTCTCTCTCTTTCTCTCTAATTATCTATCTATCTATATGTATATTTCTGTCTATCGATCTATCTTTCTATCTATCGTTTTATATGTATATCTATCCATATATCTATATGCATATGTCTATCTATCAATCTATCTATCTACCTGTCCATCTACCTATCTAATTATCTATCTATCTGTCTATCTATCTATCTATCTATCTATCTATCAATCGCCGAGAATCCCTCCCCCTTTCCTCCCCTTCCCCCTTCCCTCCCCCCTCCCTCCTTCCCACTCTTTTCATCCCTCCATCCCTTCCCCTTCCCCTCTCCCTCCCTCCCCATCCCCCCTCCCCCCTCCCCATCCCCCCTCCGCCCTCCATCCTCCCCCTCTCCCTCCCCCTTCCCCCTCTCCCTCCCTCTCCTCCTTCCTGCCCACTCCCTTCCCCTCCCCTCCCCCTCCCCCCCCCCAACCCACTCCCACACACCCCACCTCACCCCCACACCCCTCAACCGAAAAAAACCGTTTCTCCTTACGTAGCGACACAGACATCGCACACCATGTGGGTCGGCGGACAGGAATCGCAGTACTGTTCGTCGGTGCAGCCGGGGATGGAGTCGGCGCCGTCGCACACCTGTTCGGAGGGGACACACACGCCGGACGTCGGGCAGATGAATTGGTCGGGGCCGCAGTAGCCACAACCGAGCTGCGAGGAAAGGAAGAAAGGAAGGAAAGTGAGGGGGTGGGGGGGTGGGGTATTTGTGATTGTTGTCATTGTTGTTGGTTGGTCAAAGTTTGCAATTCGCTGTGTTATTTTTTTTTTTTTTTACTTTCATTTCGATCTATAGTTATTTCCCTTCCTCCTTACATTCTCTTCCTCTGTTTCGTTTTTCTCCTTATGTCTCTCCTGTTTCTCTCTCATTCTCTCTCTCTCTCTCTCTCTCTCTCTCTCACCTCTCCCACCCTAGCCTCCCTCCTTCACCCTATCCTTGCCCCCCCCCTTTCTCCCTCACCTCCCTCCCTCCACCCTAGCCTCCCTCCCTCCCTCCCTCCCCCTAGCCTCCCTCCCTCCCCCTCCCTCACCTCATCCAGTCCATCAAGAGGGCAGTCCTTCCTTCCATCGCACCGCCAAGCCGTAGGAATGCGGAGTCCTCCTGAACACTGCATTGTCTCACTGCCGCCTGTCGTCTCTGTGGGGGAGGGGAAGAGGGGAGAGGGTGAGGGAGGGTGAGGTGGGGGGAGGGGGCGAGGGAGGGTGGGGGAGGGTGAGGGAGGGAGGGCGAGGGGTGAGAGAGGGTGTGGGAATTAGGGAGGATGAGGGAGAGAAAGTGAGGGAGGGAGAGAGGATGTGGGAGGGAGGGAAGGAGGGAGGGAAGGAGGGAGGGAGAGAGGGAGGGAGAGAGGGAGGGTGATAGAGTGAGGATGTGTGACAGAGAAGGGAGGGTAAGGGGGGAGGGGTGAGGACGGTGATAGAGGGCGTAGGAGGATGAGGGTATGAAGGAGGGTGATAGGGTATGAGGTAGGATGAGGGTGAAGGTGTATGATGGAGTGAGGGAGGGTTAGGGAGGATGAGGATGAGCGAGTATGAGGGAGAGAGGGGAGGAGAGAGAATGAGGGGGGATGAGAGACAAGTTAGGTTGTGGGGAAGAGGGGAGAGTGTGAGAAGTGTGAGGGAATGAGGGAGTGAGGGAGTGAGGGAGTATGCAAGGGGAGTGATGGGGTGAGGGAGAGCATGGAGGGTGAACTTCGAGGAGGACCATGTGTGGAGGAAAAGTAATGGTCAATGAATGTATGTAAAAATGTATGCATGAATTATGTAGGTGCGCGTGCCTGTGCGTATGAGAAAGCATGCATGTACGAGTATATTTGTATGCATGCATGTACGTACACACGTAATACACGCAAGTATTTATGTATGCATGCACGTATGTACGCATGTATTTTATGCATGAATGTATGTATGCATGCACGTATGTACGCATGTATGGCATGAATGTATTTATGTATGCATGCACGTATGTACGCATGTATTGCATGAATGTATGTATTCATGTATGTCACTTATTCATAACAGCATAAACGCACTTTTAGAGTATATATCCTTGCATATTCTAATCTCACTAATGACCAGAAAATATTACGCAATCTTAAACCCTTTGCTACACACGACGCGTGAGAAACAGAGGGAGAGGGAAGAGAAAGAAAGAAAGAGAGGAGATGATGAATACGGAGAATTAGGGGGACGGAGGAAAGGTTAGAAGAAGAGACGCAAGACGAAAGGGAAGAAAGGGATAAGGAGAAACAGGGGATAAACTTAGTGGGCATTAGCTCTGGTCGGCTTTTTTTTGGCGTTTAACTTGTTTATAATTCACTATTTTCTGTTTCTTGTTTATTTTTGTCTTTTGTTTTGTATTTTTTGTCTTTTTTTGCATTTTTTGTATTTTGTTTTGTCATTTTCTCTTTTTGTGCTTTTGTTGTATTTTTTGTCTTTTGTTTTGTCTTTGTTTTGTTGTTCGTTTTGTTTGTTTTAATCTTTACCTTTTTTGTTTAGTTTAGTTTAGTTTGCTCTTATCTTTTTTGTTTTATTGTTTTTGTTTGACTTTCTTCTGTTTTTTGTTTTGTTTTGATTTGTATTTTGTTTTACATGTTGTTTTTTGCTTTGCCTTTATTTTACTGATAATGAAGAATTATAATAGTGTTGATTGTATGATAATAATGACGATAACAAGATGATGATCAGATAATAATGATGATGATGATAAAAAAGAGGATGACAATGCCAGTGATAATAGTATTGATTATAAGAACAATAGTAACAAATGTAGGGAAAACAGTAATAATAATGATAATAATATCAACGTCAGCAGCAACAGTAATGAGATGATGATGGTGATGATGATTTTTGATGATGATGATGGTGATGATGATGATGATAATGATGATAATGATGATGATGATGATGATGATGATGGTGATGATGATGATGATAATGATGAAGATGATGATGATGAGGAGGATAATGATGATGATGATGATGATGATGATGATTACTACTACTGTTGCTACTGATACTACTACTACCACTGTTACTACTACTACTATTGATGTTGCTACTACTACTACCCTCATTAATAATGAAAATAACAACAACAATAACACCTCTCAAAAAAACAACAATAACAACAACACATCCCACCATGCTCAGGGTTCGTCCTCGCCACGCCCACGCAGGCGGCTTCGTCCTCGGCTCCGTAGCAATCAGCCTCTCCGTTGCAGACTAGGTCTCTCGGCAAGCAAGGTCCTAGGGGCGCCTCGCAGTCTCCCGATGAACAAACACGGCCTAGCGGGCGAGATGCATGAAAAGGGATTTTTAGTTTAGTGTGACGCGTCTGGTGTGTTGTATTGGATGTATTCTGGAGCGCTGTGTGTTGTATTTGGTGTATTGTAGGAATGTAGGCATGTTTTGGATTTGAGAATTGTAGTTTAATACAATAATTTTGTGACTCTTTGTAAATGTTATGTTTGTGATTTTTAGTTTAGTGTGACGCGTCTAGTGTGTTGTATTGGATGTATTCTGGAGCGCTGTGTGTTGTATTTGGTGTATTGTAGGAATGTAGGCATGTTCTGGATTTGAGAATTGTTGTGGAATGCAGTAATTTTGTGACTCTTTGTAAATGTTATGTTTGTGTGTATGCATGTATGTGGATATATATGAATGTATATATCAACTTTTTTGGGGGTTCGCTTTATTGTAACGTTATCGAAGTTTTCTCATAAAGAATTCACCTGTATTCAGATTCTTTAAACTTTTTACATTACTGCATGTAAAAAAGTTGTAAAGTTTTTGCGCACTGCAGACTTTATGTCACTGAAATGTAATATAAATAAAAAACAAAATCGAATGATATGTGAACAAAATAATATATGAAAGAAGGAAAATATTTGTTTCATAAAGATATCTAGGTTCATATTTCTAATTAAATATTTCAAAATACTCGAATCTCATGGTGTTTATACGATGATAAGTTAAGTAAGTTTTATTTACCATCCTGGCTATCTACTCAGGCGTGGACAATTGAGATTAGAGAGTTTTTGCATAAATTCGACTTAATACAATACTCTGTAATTACTGAAATTGTACACTATAAAATAAAAAAGGAATATTAAGTTAATATGCTTTTTGCCACTGCGTTTATATAACACAGTTCAATGTTTACGGCATTTTAACAGACACGAGAATGGTAGTGAAATCTGGTGATCAAATACCGTAGATTTTAGTCATCGGCACCCGACAGGTGATGATAGTGAAATATGAAATCAAATCCCGTCGACTACATAATAATAATAAATAATATTTTCAAGTTACCGTCTCGTCTCGTTTGTTACGTTTTTATACAATGACATAATTGATATTTTACGGTAAATCAAGACTTTGATCGGTAGTCTATATTAGAATGGCAATTCTAATGCCACAGGGAATCATAACAATAAAGTTTATGAAATTTTATCATAATATTCAAGCTAATGCGAAAAAAAAAACAGTGATTGGGCGAATAATCGTTGTCTGTTATCATTATAATTAATTACATTTCTAACGCAGCGACCATCATTCAAATTATCATTATCATCCAATGTTACATAATCATCCCTCTAAGTACTATTGAACTACCGACGATGACGATAATAATGATACGAAGGCGAATAATAATGATAATAGCAATACTAATGATACGCTTTCCAACGAGACCAGGAAATTCTTCTGTATGATATATGCTAAGCTGATTATAGTTGTCAGTCCATATTGCTAAAAAAAAATGAACCCTTTAGTAGTGAAGGACTTAGAAGGAAGGTACATAAACACTTCAAAGATTTCTTCAGAAACTGCAGCCAAAGAAATTCGTTCTGTCGACGCGAATTAATATCATAAGAACATTAACTAAGCATCTTAAAGAGACGTTGATCATTTTACTTCTCAAAGCAATGTTCGCTGAGTTTATTAACGGAAGATATATATATATATATATATTTTATTATGAAGAAGAAAATTCATCTTTCTTCCTTTTTCTCGTATTTCTTTTTGGATAATTTTGTATCAATTGCCCACTTTCGAAAAAAAGGATTTTCCAGGTACTTATACTTAAAATTTCGCACGATTTAAAGAACGAAAGATATGAATAAGTGGAAGAAGAAGAAGGGGAAGGAGAAGAAGAAGAAAAAGAAGCAGAAGAAAAAGAAGAAGAAGAAGAAGAGGAAGAAGAAAAAAAGAGGAAGATAAGGAAACAGAAAAAGGAGAAGAAGAAGAAGAGAAAGAATAAAAAAGAAGGAGAAGACGAAGAAGAAGAAGTAGAAGAAGAAGAAAAAAAGAAGTAGAAGAAGAAGAAAGAGAGGAAGAACAAGAATAAGAATAAAAAGACCAACCAAACGGAGTGTTCGTTAGGATCAAGCCAATTAATTTAATTATACTTGATATCGATTTTATTTCTGCCACTGGGATCGTGACGCAATGCTCATCGCTCTCAGAAACTTGCACAGGCGTCATAATTAACTTTTTTTTATCTCCAGATCTGAGGATACAAGAGCAAGTAACCGTGGGGGTAAAAAACATATTTTTTTCCCCTTTTGTTTGAAAGTATTTTTCTCACTTTTTTCACGATACGATGTTCTTGCGACGCACTCATCGTCGGTGAAAATATCGTCAGTGTGATAAGTTATTGTGATTTTTTTTTTTTTTTTTTTTTGGGGGGGGAGGGAGGGTTGGGATTGATATTCGTGACGCATCGTGATTCGTCCTCTGCATTCAACCATATCTATCTATCTATCTATCTATATATGTAGATATATATTAAATATATAATTATATATATGTATATATATAATCTATCTATCTATCTATATATGATATTCGCAGTAGATACAAGAATATATAACAATCCACGGTAAGTTTCCTTTGTCTGATTTTCATATAACGGATATTTTATTTCTATACAGGACTGTGAACACTGGGTCGGATGTTACTAACAATATTCATACATAATTATACTGGCCATACATAAGGTAGGTTTTAATATTCGTTATATAGAGACTATTTTAATCTGACCGCCCCGGATTTATGTTCTGTCCCCTGTAGTTTTTTCTTGTGAATTTTATTACATACAGATGGCTCCACATGTACTCAGCCACCAAGGAGTCAATCAGTAGCCCCAGTGACCGATCCTGATTTCCCTCTTCCTTGAGTTGGCGGGAAAATGTGGTTTTCTTGTTAATACAGTTGGTATCGATACTGTTGTTATTGATGTTATGATTATTAAGCTGTTAAAATCTCGATAACATTTAAGGCAATGAAATAATGCATAAGACCCCTTCCAAAAATCGAGGAAAATGGTAAACAGGTGAGATACGTAGGACTAATAACCGACTCCTTGTTGACTAAGCACTTGTAGAGCCATCTATACGTAAATACAATAAGTAAATTTGTATTTCAGTGGGCGTGGCATGTAATCTTGCCATAAGTCGCAATTGGGTTAATATTCAGAGAATATAACTTTCTTCAACTTGTTTCTTGGTATGACTAAAGATTAGCTTATTACATAATTACGGATATCACATATCATAAAATCTAATAACCGTGATCACTTAGAATTCCTCGTACATTAACCTTACATCCATAAACAAAAGCATCCAACAAAGCATCTTGAAAACCTGGCTTACCCATTGAAAATTTTATTAAGCTTTTTTTAAGACATTATATTGAAGTAGAAGACAAAAACCAAAGAGGATGAAAATCGAGGAGGTGAATAATAAAATAAATAAACAAATAAAAATAGATAAAATAAAAAATTAAAACAATAAAGAATTGAGACTTAAAAAAAATAATCGCATAAATGAACATTCAAATCTGATAGTCAGCTCAACGAAAAGTAACACTGACAACCTAACTATTCCGAACCTCTCAACCTCATCTGTTGCACAATGCCAAGTTCCCGGCTCCACTCCCCCACACACACGCGTGCTGAAGGCTTCCTACAGCTTCTTAAGAAATTACCTGATGTACAACGGAATGCTCCTTCCGCACAGACGCCGGCGCCGAGGTGGAAAGACGAGGAGCCAGTCACTGCGCATTCCAGGCTGTTTTCCTCTTTGCATTCTGGGAGGGAGAAAGGTATAAAAACGGTTAGATGAATCTCTGCATTCAATGTGATACATTTCGTTTATATAGTATATGTATACACACACACACACACACACACACACACACACACACATATATATATATACACACACACACAAATAGTTTAGATGAATCTCTGCATTCAATATGATACATTTCGTACATATAATATATATACATATTTGTTGTGTGTGTGTGTGTGTGTGTGTGTGTGTGTGTGTGTGTGTATATTATATGTACTATATATCATATGTGTATATATATATATATATATATATATATATATATATATATATATATATATATATATATATATATATATATATATATTTGTGTATGTATATATACGCATGGACGTGTGTATATGCGTATGGGTGTGTACGCACAAGTGTGTGTACATGTGTATGTGTGCCTGTGAGTACGAAGAGACATAAATCAATCTGTATGTACGTGTGTGTTGATCGCGAGGATTGAAATATATCAGACAGACCTACTTTTTTCTCTAATCGTTTTGCTCTTTGCTTTTTAACTACGCACTTTTTTTTTTTAACCATTACGGCCAATCGGCAGCGGAATCCTTAATTAATTTGTAAAGAATCATAACAAGGGCTAATTAGTACATCTTTTAATTACCTTCAGTGAGTTAGAGAGACGTAATGAGGCCGTTCATAGTTCTATAATGACATAAATAATACATTCATGGGAGAGACTCGGAGGGTCCTAGGGAGGGAGGGAGGGAGGGAGGGAGGGAGGGAGGGAGGGAGGGAGGGAGGGAGGGAGGGAGGGAAGGAGGGAGGGAGGGAGGGAGAGAAAGAGAGAGAGAGAGAGGGGGGGAGGGAGGGAAGGAGGGAGGGAGGGAGGGAGGTAAAGAGGGAGGGAGGTAAAGAGGGAGGGAGGGAGGGAGGGAGAGAGGGAAAGAGGGAGGGAGAGAAAGAGAGAGAGAGAGAGGGGGAGGGAGGGAGGGAGGGAGGGAGGGAGAGAGGGAGGGACAGAAAGAGAGGGAGAGAGAGAGAGGGAGGGAGGGAGGGAGGGAGGGAAGGAGGGAGGGAGGGAGGGAGAAAGAGAGAGAGAGATACATAACCCACACACACACCTATACACAATAGTTATATCTTTTATTTTCCTGTTCTCCTCAGAAAAAAACAACAAAAAAAAAATACGCAGACCTTCTACAACACTTATTTTCGACTCTCTATGGAGTAATTCTTAAAGAAAGAGAAAGAGAAGGAAAAGAAAGAAAGAAAAAATAAAGAGAGAGAAAAAAGAAAGAGAAAAAGAAAATTAAAAGAAAAAAAAAAGAAAATTAAAAGAAAAAAAAGAAAATTAAAAGAAAAAAAAGAAAATTAAAAGAAAAAAAAGGAGAAACAGCCAGACAGACAGACAGATAGATAAGAAAAAAAAGAAGATAATAAACGAAAAGGACCCAATTAAGCTAATAATCCCCCCCCCTCCCCCTTAACTTGTACAGCTACAGAAACTCGAGGGGGATATTTAACGATTCGGGAAATCATGCTAAGTGACAAGCACCCTGTGATAATTAGCCTCCAGGCTCGTCTTTCGTCGCCAGGAAACCGCAGACAAAGACGCGGACGAAGACGCGGACGAAGACGCGGACGAAGACGCGGACGAAGACGCGGACGAAGACGCGGACGAAGACGCGGACGAAGACGCAGACGCAGAGGCAGACGAAGACGCGCAGATAAAGACGCAGACGAAGACGCGGACGAAGACGCGGACGAAGACGCAGACGAAAACGCGGACGAAGACGCGGACGAAGACGCGGACGAAGACGCGGACGAAGACGCGGACGAAGACGCGGACGATGACGCAGACGAAGACGCGGACGAAGACGCGGACGAAGACGCAGACGAAGACGCGGACGAAGACGCAGACGCAGAGGCAGACGAAGACGCAGATAAAGACGCAGATAAAGACGCAGACGAAGACGCGGACGAAGACGCGGACGAAGAGGCAGACGAAGACGCAGACGAAAACACAGACGAAGAGGCAGACGAAGACGCAGACGAAAACACAGACGAAGAGGCAGACGAAGACGCAGACGAAAACACAGACGAAGAGGCAGACGAAGACGCAGACGAAAACACAGACGAAGAGGCAGACGAAGACGCAGACGAAAACACAGACGAAGAGGCAGACGAAGACGCAGACGAAAACACAGACGAAGAGGCAGACGAAGACGCAGACGAAAACACAGACGAAGAGGCAGACGAAGACGCAGACGAAAACACAGACGAAGACGCAGACGAAAACACAGACGAAGAGGCAGACGAAGACGCAGACGAAAACACAGACGAAGACGCAGACGAAAACGCAGACGAAAACGCAGACGAAGAGGCAGACGAAGACGCAGACGAAAACACAGACGAAGACGCAGACGAAGACGCAGACGAAGACGCAGACGCAGAGCAGACGAAGAGGCAGACGGACGAAGACGCAGACGAAAACACAGACGAAGACGCAGACGAAAACGCAGACGAAGACGCAGACGAAGACGCAGACGCAGAGCAGACGAAGAGGCAGACGAAGACGCAGACGAAAACACAGACGAAGACGCAGACGAAGACGCAGACGCAGAGCAGACGAAGAGGCAGACGGACGAAGACGCAGACGAAGACGCAACGCAGAGGCAGACGAAGACGCAGACGAAAACACAGACGAAGACGCAGACGCAGAGCAGACGAAGAGGCAGACGGACGAAGACGCAGACGAAGACGCAACGCAGAGGCAGACGAAGACGCAGACGAAAACACAGACGAAGACGCAGACGAAGACGCAGACGCAGAGCAGACGAAGAGGCAGACGGACGAAGACGCAGACGAAGACGCAGACGAAGACGCGGACGAAGACGCAGACGAAGACGCGGACGAAGACGCGGACGAAGACGCAGACGAAGACGCGGACGAAGACGCGGACGAAGACGCAGACGAAGACGCAACGCAGAGGCAGACGAAGACGCAGACGCGGGAGAAAAGGCCTTTGTCTTGGGGCATGTTGGGGGCGTGGGGGTGTGGGGGGTGGGGATGGGTTAGGGGGAGAGTGGGTGGGGGTGGGGTGAGAGGTGGGGTGAAGAAGGGGGAAGAGGGAGGTATGTTGGGGGGGAGGTGGGGTGGTAGGGGGAAGATAGGGGTTATGTTGGGGGTAGGGAGGAGGGGTGGAGGGGGGTATGGTGGGGTTATGATGGGGGGTGGGGAGGTCAGCTAGCTTGAGAGCTGTGGCTTGTCTCTTTCTTTCTCTTTCTCTTTCTCTTTTTCGTCTGTCTTGATATCTGTCTCTTAAATTTGTTCTTTTTCTTCTTTTTCTGTTTTTTTTTTCTCAATTTCTCTGTCTCTTAAATTTGTTCTTTTTCTTCTTTTTCTGTTTTCTTTCTTCTCTCACTTTCTCTTTCTCTTAAATTTGTTCTTTTTTCTTTTTCTGTTTTCTTTCTTCTCTCACTTTCTCTGTCTCTTGCTTTGTCTTCGTTTTTCTTTTTTCTGTCTCTGTACTTCTGTTTTGGTCTTTATCTGTGTCTCTGTCTCTTTCTTTTTCTTTTTTTTCTCTCCCTCCCCCCCCCTCTCTCTCTCTGTCTCTTTCTCACTCTCTCTCTCTTTTCGGTGCGAGAAAGAAAAAAGAGGGAAAGGGACGAAGAGATGGGTGGACATCGATAAATCACACACACACACACACACACACACACACACACACACACACACACACACACACACACACACACACACACACACACACACACACACACACACACACATATATATATATATATATATATATATATATATATATATATATATACATATATACATATATACATATATACATATATACATATATACATATACATATATACATATATACATATATACATATATATATATATATATATTATATATATATATATATATATATATATATATATATATATTACAATCTTCGTACTACCAGAATAAAATAAGTAATTGTGGAGAAACGACAAAGAGTAAATCACAAATTAAAAAAAAGAAAGAAAAAAAGAGAGGAAGAATTAGCATGCTGTAGTGGATTGCAAATATACATTGCAAAATACAAGGATGCCATTGTATCAGCTGTGCCGATAAGTGCTAAAAAATGAAAAACTAAGATGAATAATAGCAGGAGATAACAGACACGTGGATGGTGAAGAAATAGACAGACAGATAGACAGATAGACAAACAGACAGATAGAATGTTAGAAAGATAGACAAACCAACAGAGAGCTAGACAGCCAGAAAGACATACAGACAGATAGACAGAAGACGGATAGATGGACAGACAAATAGACAGACAGAGTGATATAGAGATAGACAAGCAAAGAGATATATAGAAAGACATAGACAGAGAGACAGACAAACAGACAAATAGTGATAGACAGATAGACGGATAGATAAACAAACAAACAGATAGACAAACTGAAAGACATAGACAGACATAGGTAGACAGATAGATGGATAAAAAGACGGAAGCTATAAACAGACATGCAAATGAATAGATATACAGACAGATAAACAAAAAATATTATAACACTGTATGATAGATAGAACACATATAGATAGATAGATAGATAAGGCGATAGACGTAAAATATAAAAACAGAAAAATCGAAGAGAAAGTTGGAGAGAAAATAAAATGAAGAAAAACGAGAATTTAACGAATGAAGAAACAGGGAGAATCAGCGAGAAAAGGAGAAGAAAAAGAAAAAGAGAGAAAAAAATACAAAGGAAGTGAAAGGAAAGATGATATGATAAAGAAGAAGGAAGAAGAATCTAGAAAAGAAGTAGATATTGAAAAAGAGAATGAGGGAAGAAGAGATAACAGAAGATGAAAAATCAGAGGAAGAGAAAATAGAATAAGGAAAAAAAGGCGAGAAAACTGAAGAGAAATAAGATAAATAGGAAGAAACAACAATAGAGAGAAAGATAAGAAAAAGAAGCGAAAGAAACGAAAATAAAGAGAATGAGAGAAGAAGAAAAAGAAAACAGAGAGGTAAAGAAAATGAAAGAAGAAGAAGAAGATTCAGAGATTAAGAAAATGATAAAAGCAAGAAGACGAAGAAGAAGAAGATTCAGAGATTAAGAAAATGATAAAAGCAAGAAGACGAAGAAGAAGAAGAAAAGGAAGAATAAGAAGAGGAGGAGGAAGATACAGAGACTAAGAAAATTACGAAGAAGACGAAGAAGAAGATTAAGAAAATTAATAAAATAATATGAAGAAGATGATGACGAAAAACAAGACACAGAGATAAAGAAAATAATTGAAGAAGAAGGAAATGGAAGAAAAAGAAGAATAACGAAGAAGAAGAAACGAGAGAGAGAGAGAGAGAGAGAGAGAGAGAGAGAGAGAGAGAGAGAGAGAGAGAGAGAGAGAGAGAGAGAGAGAGAGAGAGACAGAGAGAGAGAGAGAGAGAGAGAGA